CTCCTTGCCTTCTCCTCCTCCTTCTCCTCCTCCTCCTCTTCCTCTCCTCCTCCCCTCCTCCTCCTCCGCCTCCGCTCCTCCTCCTCCCCTTCCCCCTCCTCCCTTCCTCCCCTCCTCCCCCTTCCTCCTCGTCCTCTCCTCCTCCTCTCCTCTCCTCCCCTCCTCCTCCTCCTCCTCCTCCTCCTCCTCCTCCTCCTCCTCCTCCCTCCCTCCCTCCTCCTTCCCTCCCTCCTCCTCCTCCTCCGCATCCTCCTAGTCCTCCGCCTCCTCCTCCTCCTCCTCCTCCTCCCCACCTCCTCCGGTCCTCCTCCTCCTCCTCCTCCCACTCTCCTTTCTCCTCCTTCTCCTCATCATCATCACCTTCTTCCTCCTCGTCTCGTCCTCGTCCTCGTTCTTCCTCCTCTTCCTCCTCCTCTCCTTCCTCCCTCCTCCTCCTTTCCTCTCTCCCTCCCATCCTCATCCTCATCCTCATCCTCATCTTCTTCCTCCCCTTCGCCCCCCTTCCTTCCTCCCTCCCTATTTTCTCCCGCTTTCGCCCTCCATCCTCCTCTACCGCGCTTCTCCCCCCCGCCCGCCGCCCCTCCTCTTTCCTTATCCTGCTCCTCTCCTCCTCCTCCCCCGCCGCCCTCCTCCCCCCTCCTCATCGTCGTCCGCCTCCTCCTCCTCGTCTTCATCTTCCTCTCCCAGCCTCTTCCTTCTCCTCATCCTCCTCCTCCTCCTTGTCCTCCTCCTCCTCTTCCTCCTCCTCCTCCTCCTCGTCAGGCCCCTCCTTCTCCTCTCCCTCCTCCACCTCGTCCTCCTCCTCCTCCTTGCCCAGCCACCCCCATCCCCCTTTTTCCTCCCCCCCCCTTCCCCTTGAAGGGATCGGCTCGGTTCGGTTCGGTCCGGTTCTGCAGCCGGGTCGGTTCTGCTTGGCCGGTTCGGTTTGGCATCGGTTCGGTTTCGGCCGGGGCCTGCCGCTGGTTCGGTTCGGTTCCGCTTTTCGCGCGGTTGGGTCCGACCGGTTCGGTTCGGTTCGAGTGGCCGCTCGGGTTCGGTTCGGACCGACTGGTCAGGTGCGGCGTTGGGCGCCCCGTCTGCGTAAGCGACGACCCAGTTTGGAAAAAGGGAGGGAGGATGGGGGAGGAGGAGGAGAAGGAGGAGGAGGACGAGGAGGAGGAGGAGGAGGCAGAGGAGGGAGGAGGAGGAGGAACGTGGAGGCGTGGAGGCGCGAGGCCCTCCAGCGACGTACCTGGCGAGGTGCCTCGCTGCTCGGCCGCCGCCGCCGCGGCCCCGTCGTCGTCGTCGTCGTCGTCGTCGTCGTCGTCGTCGTCGTCGTCGTCGTCGTCGTGGTCGTCGTCGTCGTCGTCGTCGTCGGGGAGGCCCCGGGATCGTCGGTCCGGGGGGGGACCCCCCTGGGGACCCCCGGTCTCCCTCGGAGGTGCAGCAGGGCGCGGCGAAGACGACGACGACGACCCCCCCTCGTGGGTGCGACCCCCCTCGGAGCTTCGACCCCCCTCGCGGGCGCGACCCCCCTCGCGGGTGCGACCCCCCTCGCGGGTGCGACCCCCCTCGCGGGTGCGACCCCCCTCGGGGCTGCGACCCCCCTCGCGGGTGCGACCCCCCCCATCGGGGCTGCGACCGCCCTCGGGGCTGCGACCCCCCTCGGGTCCTGGGGTCCCGGGAGTCCAGGGGGGCCCTGGGGTCCTGGGAGTCATCGGGGTCGATTCGGGAGGTTCTGGGGTCATCGGGGTCCCGGAGTCCTGGGGGTCATCAGGGTCCTGGGGTCCGGACCGGAGGGGAAAGGGGTTCGGTTCGGTTCCCGTCGGTTCGATTCAGAGGCCGCCCGGTTCTGGTTCGGTTCCGGTTCCGGTTCGGTTCGGTTCTCGCCGGTTCGGTTCTGAATGAATTCGGTTCGGTCCGTCTCGGTTTTCTACGTTCCTGGTTTTGGACCGGTTCGGTCTGGTTTGGTCACGGTTCTCGGTTCTCGGTTCGGCGCGGTCCCTTCATGGATCCCTTCCCCCTCCTCCTCCTCTTCCTCCTCCTCCTCCTCCTCCTCCTCCTCCTCATCCTCCTCCTCCTCCTCCTCCTCCTCCTCCTCCCCCCTCCCCCTCCTCCTCCTTTTTTTTTCTCCTCCTCCTCCTCCTCCTCCTCCTCCTCCTGAGCCTTGTTCTTCCACTCCTCCTCCTCCTCCTCCTCCTCCTCCTTCTCCTCCTCCTCTTTCTCCACCACCTCCTCCTCCTCTCCTCCTCCGCCTTGTCCTTCCACTCCTCCTCCTCCTCCACCACCACATTATCCTCCTCCTCTTCCTCCTCCTCGTCCTCCTCCCCCGCCCTTCCCCGTCCTCCTCCTCGTCCTCCCCTCCTCCTCTTCCTCCTCTCCTCCCTTCCTCCTCCTCCCTTTTCCTTCCACTCCTATTCCTCGTCCTCCTCCTCCTCTCATTTTCCTCCTCCCCCGCCCTCCTCCGTCCTCGTCCTCCTCCTCCTCCTCTTCCTGCTCCTCCTTCTCCTTCTCCTCCTCCTCATCCTCCTCCTCCTCCTCCTCTTCCTCCTCCCCCGTCCTCCTCCGTCCTCTTCCTCCTCCGTGTTCCTCCTCCTCCTCCTCCTCCTCCTCCTCCTCCTCCTCCTCTTCAGCCCCCCACGGCCCGAGGGACCTGGAACGCGGGGGCAACCAGCTGCCCCCGACACGCGGCCGCCGCGTTTCCGACACTCCCCCAGAGTGTTCCAGCTCGGGCGGCCGCGCCCGCGATGATGCATAGGCCCAGAGCCTGCAGCTACAATGTGCTTTCATTGAGACAAGATGGACGGTGGTACGGTATCGCGCAGGAGCTACGGTCATGCACAGTGGTTGGCTTGCAGGGTACACAGTGTTCGGGGGCAAGGAATCTTGTGTGTCAACAGGATCGAGTAGGCAGATTTCACCGCTTCATATGGCCACGCGCTGGAGGTGTATCAGGCAGACCGACGGGGTTAAGATTGCTGCTTAATGATCGTCTGGTGCAGAGTAGCATGATCAGACAGATATACACGCCAGAAGGATGGGAAGGTAGACTTGGAGCTGTGAGATGTAAGAGTAAGCGAATGGATTTCACGTTCATAGTTGGGCATGCGCATACAGAACCACACGGTTCTCAGAACGAGCGAAGGGCACAGGAGAAGAGATGCAAACATTTCTGGTTCGGACTGACACAGCTGCTAGACATGTTGCCGTCTCGCACAGTGCCAGCGCTCATGATGGACGCGAACGCCAGGATCGGATCGGTCGAGTCGGACACGCGCGTTGGCACGAAGTAGAGCGATGAGGAGAACTAAAATTGGAAGTGCTTTCGAGAATTGCTGGAACATCACCATTTATGCGCACTGAATTCTTATTACGAGACGGGCCCTACGTTCTATCACGGCTCAGGTGAGTGCGCTTCCAGAATAGACTATGTGTGTGCCCCACCAGCGGTCTTGTCGAACGTGGAGGCGTGCGAGGTGTGGGGACGGACGGGGGATAGACGGCTGATCATAAACACCAGGACGAGGCGTGATCATTTCCCGCTCGTAGTGCGCTTCAGAGTAGGCCCGTGCTTCGATTTAACGCCGCAAGCTGTGCATGCATGGGGCCATGATGAGCTGTCTAGATGCATTAGGTTCGGTCAGGAAGCCTGGGAGTTCCTTTCGGCGGTGGACGCGCCCCTGGAAGCTACCGCGCTCGACGTTCAGGACTTGTGTCTCCAGGGACCTGATGCGATGTATAATGAGGTGCATTCCCGAGCGCCGGAAAAGGCACGTGCTGTTTTTTCTAAGCAACCCAAGCGAGAAGCAAGACCTGCGGACACACGGCGAGCGCTGGAGGCGCGGCTGGAGTGCAGGAAAGCTTTAAGGGAGCTGAGAGAAGTGCCGTTTCCTCCCCTGCCTCCTTCCCTCCTTCTGGGTGAGTGTCCTCGGGAGGGGTTTCCTGACTGGGTCCGCTGGGGGGGGGATGGGAGTGCACGAATTTCTGCCCGGGCACTTTTTCAGGCGCGCGCGCGGGCTCTCGAGAGCGCGCAACGAAGTTTATGAGCCGCACGCGTGCCTTGCGAGCGTTGCCCACAGCTGTCAGCAGCGGGAGAAGAACGCGCGGTCGCATCTGAGACGAGACCGTTCCAAGATAATGGGGATGCATGCGAGCGAATTCAGTAGGGTTAAGCGACAGGGGGACACAGCGCTGTGCTGGAAGCTGTCTCGTTTGCTTGCCAGTAATAGTTTAGGACCCAAGCAGAGGAATTTTTGTGTTCCCCAGACGCGTCTTGAGAAAGAGACGTGGAAGAAATTCCTGGAGTCACCTGGTAGAGGAGGCGTTTTTTTTTTTTTTTTTTTTTTTTTTTTTTTTTTTTTTTTTTTTTTTTTTTTTTTTTTTTTTTTTTTTTTTTTCTCTCTCTCCGAGTCTCCGTGTCAAGATGAGGAGAAGCAGCGTAGGCAGAAAAGAGAGCCCAAGGTGGACCTCACCATTAGTACCATTCAGCACGGCGCGGACGATTATATAGAAGTACGTAGGAAGATGCGCAACACTAGGCTGAGGCGGTCGCCGCCCGACTGGAGCTTCCCAGCAGGAGTGTGGCGGCTGCTGATGTGGCCGAATGAATTTCGCTATAAACACGCAGGAGGAAGATGGCTGGTCTTTCCCGAATATTACTAAATGTTTATTTGGGATACGCGTTGCAATTAGACACCACGGTGGAACCCCGTTACAGTGGCACCAGAACGAAGCTTTTTCATTGAGCAAATTAAACGGAAAGAGCGAATGCAAGGGCCAGAGGCTTGTGCACTCGCTTGACTCATTCGGCAAATCATACTATGGAGTGCTGCGGAGCAGGTACCCCGAGCTGGCACGTTCTGCCGATAGAGTATACTCTTTTGGGCACTTGAAGGGTAGGCGCCGAGAGGAGGCGATCCTCGCGCAATGTGTGTGTGCGGCTCGCTTGCATGGTAGTAAAATAGGCAGGCTTACCACTCTATATGATGCCACGAACGCGTTTCACAGTGTTGAGCATGAGTATTTGCACGCGAGCGTAGATGAGCATTGTGACGCGTTTGGTGCCGAGCTGTTCAAACAGAGACTACGATTCGCGCAGGTGTCGATCGAATGTACGGATGGGACGCTGGTTGTGGGCATTAGGCAGGGCACGCTACCTGGGGACGCGATCGCGTGCATATGGTTCCTGGGGGTCTATGACAAGCCGTTGGGCGTGTTCAGGGATTCGGATGCGTCCAGCCTGTATGTGCAGATGAAGTGGCTTAGGCGCTGCCTAACCGATTGTCCAGATGGTAGAGTGCTGCTGAATCAAAAGTCCAGGGAGTTCATGGACATCTCGATGTCTAGTTTTTCTGATGATATTGCAAGAACTTCAGCAGTGACAGACGCTACGCATTGCAGGCTGCGAACGTTGTCACAGTACAGATCGTTGGAAGGTGAGCTGAAGGAGATAGGAGTTGCGTTGAATGCTGAGAAGCAGGAATCACTGGTTCAATTGACGGGGAAAGGGGTTCAGGAGGGCACGAGGAGGCTGTATAGGGATCAGAATTGGATGTTGGGGAAGGTGAAGAGGGGCGCTAAGTATCTAGGAGGCCGACTACATTTTCAAGGTAGCTCGAAGCCAGAGGTTGGGCTACGTGCGCGGCGTGCTAGGCAAGCCTTCGCAGTACTAGGCAGTTTTTGGCAAGAAAACAGGGAAGTTAAGTGGAGGACGGCGGTTTTCAAAAGCATGGTGGAGGGATCGCTTCTTGCGGAGCTCATCGCTTGCCTTCTGAGCGATGCCGATTTGAAGCGCTTGGAGGGAGTCCAAGCACATCTTGCTAGGCGCGCTCTGCAAGGCAAAGGCTGTTTGAAGATTTCTGCCACCAGTGAATGCCCACACAGATATCGAGCTTTACCCAACACGGAGATAAGGAAGACGATGAAGTTAAGGGCGCCCTACTGCACCTTGGGAGCTTGGAGGATTCGCTGGTGGCAAGAGCTAGTACGATCGCCTGAGAAGCACGTGTTAGTCTTGACATAGATTTTTGGGTATGCTGCCTGGGACCAGCTCAAACTCTGCGATGTGCATGGGAATGCGTGTGCTGCACCAGGCACTAGTGATGTACGCCAATGGTGGAGCCAGTTTCTATTGGATGTTTCTGTGTGTACCGCGGACCTGGGAATGCCCGAAGTGCGACCAGCACTACTCCGAAGGCCAGTGGAGCTTTTTTGCAATTCGGAGATCAGGGAGGCGTTCCTAGGTGCGAAGGTGTCGCAGGTCAAGAGGGCTGAGGGAGGACCGAGGACGTTCGAGGAGATCTACACGGAGGGGGTGGAAGCGAACGAGGTGGACGGGGATATTGAATGGGGGGCAGTTGGGAGGAGATGAGGCGCAGGTTTTACCGCCCCTGGTCTTGGACTTGTTCCAGAGGTTCCTGTCCCCGCTCCATGCGTGTGCGATATTGAGGGCTGTGGAATGGGATTTAACCATCGCAGGCAGCTCCTGCCACATCAGGTCAACTCAAAAGCGGACGGCCATGGAAAAAAGACTCTCGCCAAGATCTTGACGGTGTCCAGCAAATGTATTACATGTGCCAATTTCTATACCACTCGGAGGTATGCTTCAGAACATCTAGCAGTTCGTATCGCTAGAGGTGTGTGTCCGAAATCCAGGGGATCGGTTACCATTCATATTCATACGGTGGGCCCTCCCTATAGGTGTGAATTCTGTGATATGGAGTTTGCCTCGTACGTGTCGGCCAGGACCCATCTGGTCAGCCACGTTCCTGGGCAGACGGTGGCGCGTGATAATTAGGCGCACAAGCACGCGGGGGCTGTCGCTATCGTGGCCCAGAGGTGACGAGGCGTATCGAAGCCTTTGTCTTCTCGAAGTGCTCTGACGGCATGCGGGCGGATCAGTTCGCATCGCGTGGCCCAGGAGATGCGTCGGCAGCACCGCAGGGGCGGGCAGTTAAGTATGCGAAGGCCGAGAACACGGTGGACTATACGAAGATTAACCTCCCTCTGCGCCTGGGGGTGATTGCACATCAAAAGCTTCGTCTCCTGGAGGCGGCGCGCACATCGCAGTGTGAGATCAGCGCGGAAGGAGCTTTGCGGCAGGCGACGCAGAAGGCGCACAATGAGGAGCACCTCCCTCGTGTGCGAGGCAAAGGGCGGACATGGCCTGGGACCGCCCGACGCGTTCAAGCTGGCGGCAGCGTGCGTTACGATGGCGGGCACTGCGGCCCCAGAGACCAAAGAGGTGCTGACAGACTACCTCAATAAGTACAAGCCTGGCAGTCGGGGGGCTCAACATGTCGTCGGTTTCTTTCGGACGGAGAAGATGTTCGACAGCAAGAAGAAGAGGCTCATGATCGCGATGAAAGATGAGAAACTTGAGCGCGTTCTATTGTGTGCTGTGGAAGCGGCGGAAAAGAAGGTGGCGTGGTCGGGCCCTCGCCCTGTTGGTCATCTGGAGGTGGAGGGGCAGAAGATCATCGAGGCAATGCCGGCGCAGTACTGGGTTGGAGAGTCTCCAGAGCACCCAATGGAAATGGAGTGAATTGCAGGTGCGTGAGTGACATGAGCGAGGCCAGCAGCGTGAGCTTCTCTTTTGCGTGCCTGTAATTTTGCGCTCGTGAATCTAGTGCCGCTGCATAAGTTGCATAGTGCGTTTTATGCCTGCCCGTGGAAGTGAAAGGTCGGAGATTTGTTGTTGGCATTTAGCGGGCCATTGAATGTCTGGCCACCGCATGCATTTTTTAGTGCGACCTCGTCCCAGTTTCAAGGAAGTTGTTGCTCCTCTTAGTTTGGCGCAAATGCGTGGATCCTTCCTGCGGCCGTCTCGTCCCTTCTCCCTCCTCTCGCCCCTCCCGCTCCTTCTTGGCCGCGGGCCTCTCCTCCCCCCCTCAGGGGCCGTCCCTGGCTGGGGGTTGTGTGAAACGCCCCCTCCTGGTCGTCCGCGCGCGGACGCCTAGGGGGGCGCCTTCGCCTCCCTCGGCCAGGTATGGCGCCTGCTCGCCCTTGGTCTCCCGCGTCGTTGCTGCTTGCTGGTGGGTCCCACGTGCACCTGACGGAAATGGCCGCACACGGGCTACGCCCGATGCTCGGGTTATGCCGTTCGTGTCCCACGTGCCGTGTGGTGCCGAGCTTACAGTAATGAGGGGGTCACCCCACCGCACTCCGTAGTCCGAACTGACTTTGGACTCTTATGGAGTTCCGCCGCCGCCGCCTCCTCCTCTTCCTCCTCCCTCCTCCTCCTCCGTCCTCCTTCTCCTCCTCCTCCTCTTCTCCCTCCTCCTCCTCCCCGTCCTCCTCCTCCTCCTTCTCCTCCTCCTCTTCCTCCTCCTCTTCCTCCTCCTCTTCCTCTTCCTCCTCCTCCTCTTCCTCCTCCTCGCACAGGCTCCCCCATCCGCCTTCGTCCTCCTTCTCCTCCTCCTCCTCTTCTCCCTCCTCCTCCTCCTCCCTCGTCCTCCTCCTCCTCCTCTCCTCCTCTCTTCTCTTCCTCCTCCTCCTCCGCCTCCCCCTCCTCCTCCTCCTCCGCCTCCTTCCTCTCTCCTCCCCCCGTCATCCGCCTCCACGCTTCTCCCCCCTCCCTCCTCCTCCTCCCTCCTCCTCCTCCTCCTCCTCCTCTCCTCCTCCTCCCCCTCCTCCTCCTCCTCCTCCTCCTCCTCCTCCTCCTCTCCTCCTCCTCCTCCTCCTCCTCCTCCTCCTCCTCCTCCTCCTCCTCCTCTCTCCTCCTCCTCCTCCCTCGTCCTTCCACTCCTCCTCCTCTCTCCTCCTCCTCCTCCTCCTCCTCCTCCTCCTCCTCCTCCTCCCGCCTTCCTTCGTCCTCTTCTTCCTCCTTCACTTCCTCCTCCTCCTCCTCCTCCTCCTCCTCCTCCCCTCCTCCCCCTCCTCCTCATCCTCCTCTTCTTCCTTCCCCGTTTTCCTCCCCCTATTTTCCACGTTCCTCCTCCTCCTCCTCCTCCTCCTCCTCCTCCTCCTCCTCCTCCTCCTCCTCCTCCTCCCCCTACTCATCATGCTCCTCCCCCTCCTGCTACATTCCCTTTTCCCGCAAATCATGCTTCCCTCTCGCACCCCGAGGCCAGTTTTCAGGGTGGGCCAGGCGCTTCGCTTGAGACGCCCTCACCACTTAGGACTTTGAATGTGAAAGAATGGCAGCAACTTCGCAGTTGGGGGGGCTGGTGGTTTTCAAAATGTGAGCCTCGTCTTGGTGCCGCGCACATTCGTTTTCAACAGCTGCAATACTTTGACGGATTGAGGGTGGTTTGTTTTCAAATTGTAGTTCTTGCCTTAGCGCCGCGCGCATTCTTGTTGAACATCTGCAAGGGCTCCACGCATTGAGTGCGGGTGGTTTTCAATATGTGGTTCTTGCTTCAGCGCCGCGAACATTCGTTTCACAAAATTGCAAGAGTTTCACGGAATGAGGGCGGGACGTTGTCAACATGTGGCTTTCGCCTGAGCACCGCGCACACTCGTTTTAAACATGTACAAGAGTATCGCTGGTTGAGAGCGAGTGGTTTCTAAATGTGGCACTCGCCTTAGCGCCGCCCACAGTCGCTTTAAACTGTTAAAAGGAGTTCGTGGATTTAGGACGGGGGAGGTTCAACAAATGGCTCTCGCCAAAGCGGCGCGTGCATTCTTTTAACCGCATTTGCAAGATATTCACGGGTTTCCATCATCACCGTAGCAGAAATAGCATGTTGGAAGCATTCCGGACTATGTGGGTGCAGCAGTTTTGTTGGTTCGTGGTGCTGAAGTCCCCCAAATCGCGTCTTGGCACGATTCAATTTCGTCAGGACGCAGCAGTGAGTTTGATCCGTGGCGTGGAGTCCCAGGAACATTGTGTTGGTGTGCATCAAGGTCTTCAAACGGTTGCCTTCCAATGAGGCAGTTCCCCCAATGGAAACGAATTGTTGTAGGTGCTTATGAAGAGGGAGTTTGGAGGGAGGGTTAGTTCCTACATCGTTGTTGACTCTTGGTGTTACACTGATCCTCCTCCTCATCCTCCTCGCTCCTCCTCCTCCCCCTCCTCCACGCTCCTCCTCCTCATTCGCCACCTCCTCCTCGTCCACACTCTTCCTCTTTCCCATTCCTTCACGCTCCTCCTCGTCCTCTTCCTCCTCCTCCTCCTCCCCCCTCCTTCTTTTCCTCCTCCTTTTCTTCATCTCCTCCTCCTCCTCCTCCTCTTCCCCCTCCTTCTCCTACTCTCCCTCCTCCTCCTATTTTATCGGCAGCGAGCGAGGGGGAGACGTGAGACGGAAAAGGCCTTCTGAGAAACCTTCGGGCCTTTCGACAAGTTTTTGTTGCGTCTCAGGGGAAGGCTTCGAGCACTTCTCAGCACTTCCACCCCTGCTCGCTGCCGGTTTATCCCTGACCACCAGAAAGACTTTCGAGCGCCAGGGAAGTATGGGCTGCGCATGGTTTTACCGCGTCGTGCTTTGGGAGGCGTAATGCCCATTCGGCATTTCGCCAGCGTGTCTGGCAGATGCTGCTTCGATACTCGTCGGGGCGCTCGAAATGATTTCTGGGATGTGGGCATTACATACAATGGGAACAATCCAAGCCTGGGTTCTAGAAATATTCTAGAATGTGGAGATGGTTTTTGTACCAGCCCTCCTGCGCTGTTCTCTCGTTTTGGCTATAGACTGCCATGGTACTCCGGGTTCTTCGCCCGAGTCCCTTTTCCTCTCTTCCTCTTCCTCGTCCTGCCCGATGCGTCTTCTCTCCTCCCATCTTCTGCCTGCCTTCCCCCTGCATCCTAACATTTCACCCACTTCGTCCTACCTGGGAGCTCCATCGGTGGCTGCGAACAGCGCAATTTTCGCCGCTTTCGTTGGCTCCTGGGAGGTCCAGCGGAGAGATGTCCCAGGCAGATCCAGATCCAGGCAGGAACTCGCCCTTCGCTGGGGGGTGCGAATTATGAATTTGTCACTTTCGTGGGCTCCTTCCAGCCGCTGCTGCCGCGGCGACCTTGGGCCCTGCATATCTTTGTGACCGTTTTCTTGTTCATTGTGTTGCCGATCGGCGCGGGCCCTCGCACCCCCCCTTCTACCTCCCCGCATGGGATAGATGTTGGCTGTTTTTTGGCGCGTGTTTCGAGCAGCTGGGGTCTCTCTCCCCCGCATGACGCACTGTTGCAAACAGTCGCGCTAAGCAGAGGTCCGGAGCCAGAACCCCCCCCCTCCTCCCCCCCTTCCGCCCATTGTCGAAACGCCGAAAAAGAGAACTCACCTTGCACCTGCCCCTTCCTGCCGCTGCTGCCGCGGCGACCTAGGGCCCTGCCCATCCTCCTCCTCCTCCTCCTCCTCCTCCTCATCCTCCTCATCCCTCCCCTCCTTCCTCCTCCTCTCCTCCTCCTCCTCCTCCTCCTCCTCCTCCCCCTCATCCCTCCTCCTCCTCCTCCTCCTCCTCGTCGTCCCTCCTCCCCCATCTCCTCTTTTTCTCCCTCCATTGGCCCTTCGACCCTGTGGCACCGCTACCTCCCGCCCGCCCTTTGACCGTCCTGTCGGTGTTCTGTGAGCCCTGCAGCGCGTGAGCCTCCCGTGTGGTATTCATTCGGCGGCGAGCAGAAGGCTCGGAAGTCCCCTTGCTTTCAAAAAGGTTCTCTAAGCCTTCCCCGAAGACATGGAAAACCTCTCAGACGGCCAGCGGCCTTCTGAGAAGCCCCGCCGCCTTCTGAGAAGGCCTTTCCCTCCTCACTTCCCCCCCCCTCGCCCGCCGCCGATTCACGACAAATGACGGTCCTTGCCATTGCCATGCAATCAATCAATCCGGGGAATATTTGGCCAACGGCCCTTCTCAATTATTTTGGATGGGTTGGGTCTGTCGCAGGGTATTTCCGACTCGGTGGGCCCGTAACGTCCGTCGCGGTGGGTCGCCCCCCTGCCCTCCCTCCCCGTAGCAGTACCGAACGTACGCGCGAGGGGAGTGCCGGAATCCACACAAGTATGGCACGCTTTTCATAGATTCGGTTTGATGCGGTGTGGACAGGCGTGTTTGTGGTCTCCGAAGCATGCGGTGGCGCCCGCAGGCCTTTGCGGTGCCCGTGGATCATGGTTAATGCCACTATTGAGTGCTGCATCGCCACTGCTGCTATGATTGCTACTACCACTACTACTACTACTACTACTACTACTACCACTACTACTACTACTACTACTACTACAGCCTTTACTACTACTACTACTACTACTACTACTACTACTACTACTATTATTACTACTACTACTACTACTACTACTACTACTAGTACTACGACTACTACTACTACTACTACTACGACTACTACTACCACTGCCACTACCACTACCACTACCACTACCACTACCACTACTACTACTACTACTACTACTACTACTACTACTACTACTACTACTACTACAGCCCTTACTACTACTACTACTACTTCTACTACTACTACTACTACTACTACGACTACTACTACTTCTACGACTACTACGGCTACGACTACGACTACGACTACGGCCGCTACTTCTTGTACTATGACGACTACGACTACCATTATTAGTACGCAC